AAGTAATTAAAAATTTTAAAGGGGATTCATTTTAAGTCGTACATAGTGTTCAAAAAACAAAAAATAAAATTCAATGACAAATTATCTAACTTACGGGAAACACCAAAATTACTTTACTTAGAACGTATAAATTGTTACAACCTGGTTGAATTCGGTGTAAAAGCACAAACCACAAATTAAAAGAAAATATTTTTGATAGCCACTACGTTGTTTTCTTCGAAATAAAATTTAAAATAATGCCATTACAACAGCATGTTAGTTTTGAATGTTTTTTTTTTAGGGAAATTTTCCTATTTAAATGTTTTTTTTTTTTTACACAATTTTGTTAGTTATATATACCGAAACAGAAAACACGAGTATACAATTCCTTGTAAAATATCCCAAGTCCTTTAGCCCTTTTAAAACAGTACATAATGGAAAAGATGTGAGAAAAAGTGCGAGTTAGTTATTTTTCGTTTTCATACACGTTTACACACACCACTTTTCGTATAATATAAGTATTTTCAATTTTTTTTTTTCTACAGAATGTAGCACGGGTAAACGCTAACCTATACTTACTATTATATTTTACCAGCAATATTTACTTTTACTATTTATTCGAGTTAACATTGTTTCGTCATTTATCTATTATACGCCGGAACCGTTGTCGTTTTTAACGATGAATCAACAATATAATATTATCTAATTATCCGCTATAAAAACGTCAGTATTTAATATTGTGTTTACCGAACGCTTTTCCTATGATATGATTACGTTTTTATTGTATGTGTTAGGTATGAGGTTTTATTTTTATTATTATTTTTTTTTTTAATCACAGAACTCTTATAATAGTTGCGCTCGTATTATTACATAAATATTGATTGCAATTCGAGATAACATTATTATAATTTTTTGTCGTTTGTCTATTATATTACACTGAATAAATATAATTATCTGCTCTAAAATGTCGGTTTTTAATTCGAGATATTTTAGTATTTTGTTCACGACCATGACTTGTGTCATAATAGCATAATAATACTGTGATATTTTTAGTATTTGATTGTTATATTTGAACAATTTTGTTTGGAACTGTTTATGCGACTGTCGCGAGTTCAAATGTTACAAAACGTATGTTGTCTTTTACGACTATTTCGGGTACGGTTTTTAACGTTGTTGTCGAATTTCAGGTGAAATTAGAATCTATCTATTGCACTGAATATTGTGAGGCATAATTGTATTTTATACAATTGGTCCCAGGACAAAAAGGATTATTATGTCGATTTGATTTATAATTTTCAATACTAGCGAATGAAATTTCAAAAATGGCTAAACATCGCTAAAAAACCGAAACGCGAATTAGAGTTCAGAATAATTTAAAACCATATAATTTTATGGTTTACCAGCCGTCTCGACTGATATTACCCGTTCCAAAAAAAAAATATTATATTTAATATTTTATTGTGTGCCATTAACCTAAAACAATTTTTATTTTCTTTAAAAATATTAATTTTTTAAGTTTTTTTAAAGTGGTTTAAAATGTCGTCTGTATAACTAAAGAAATACATACATTAATGAAAATATCGATAAACCCGTATCAGCTCTCCTATGGAGAGGCGGCTATTTTTGTAACTTTCAAAATCCCTTCAGTGTCTCCCAAATGAAGGCAGGGAATAAAAAGTTGTATATGTGTTGGCATATATATATTAGGGTGTGCATTAATTATGTGTAGAATATAAATGATAATGAAAATGTGTGAAATTGTAATGGTCTATAAAATATATAGTATAATTATAATTATAATATAATATTATAATATTGTCTTCAATAACACAAAAAACTAAGTTAATTTTTTTCATTATAGATTAGTATACTCATAAAATAATTGCATTTGTCTAGTTTTAAGTGCTTAATTTTATTTTTTTAAAAAAAATTCCTCAAAAAACTCTAGGTCGACACAATTTGGAATATGTAACTTAGGTACGTAAATATTATGACTACTACAATAAAGTAAATATTATGAATATACTTGTAGTCTAAGCTCACTATAAACTTAAATGTTATTATTGACTCCACGACCGTTGATGATAAACGATTATTTATAATTCGTTAGCACTGAGATTTTGATGCCATGGCATTTAAAAAATGCACCAAATAGTCTCAACAAATAACAAAAAAAACAAATCTCCAAACGACCTCAAAAACAACTGTTTTGTGTTTAACAAAGTAATGATAATGTCGTTTAATTATTAAATTGCCATTTGACTACAAAAATACTATTAAAAATTGACACTAAAATGAAAAAATAGCGAAAAATAAAAAGTAAAAGTTTTACTTAGCAAACATAATAGGATTTTCGTGGTGATTATGAGATCTCAACTATAATTTTTATGATAAATTATTGACCTTAAGTAAATACCATGAATAATTCAATTCCATACTACGTTTTTAGAATATTTTCATTATGTTTTCGTCGTACCTACCTACCTGTAACGCAAAATGAATATACCAAATGAAAACGAAATTTATTTTATAATTTTTATGTATGGTTACTATCGTGAAAAGATTATTTTATAAGTTGAAAATCCACAAAAAAACATAAAAACGTCAAAATAATAAAAAAAAAAAAAGCACCGAAACAATTATCACTTGAAACTGGTGTTCAAACTGGGTGCCGCGAACTTTCACTAGTTATACGGACCTCTGGTTACGCTGATCTGCACGTTAAGTATGGAACCATAACTCTTTAGATTGTGATCCTGTTATTTTGTTCTTAGTTCAGATTTCATGAGAAAATTTTAAACAGTAACTAAAAAAAAAAGAGATTTACTTCAGTACATCTCTGAAACCATCTCTAAATACGTCCATGTATAACTTATTGTTACAAATATATTATGAACAGCGACCATGGTTTAAAAAGTTCCGTAATCAATGTTATGTTTTAATTCGATAACGGTAGGAATAATAATAATTTATCGGATTATCTACGTTTTACGTATCTTTATTATTATTTCGTGTATATATTTATACATATCAATTTATCTATTAATTGTATATCTATTCGATCGACTCGCTAACCCGTTGGTTTGACTGACAGATTAAATTATTATTATATTATTATAGCGTCTTATAATTTCTTATATTATTATCGTATATCATAGAATCCGTGTCCGAAGTAGTGTGGGTAAATGAACCTATCCAAGAATATTAGAGTTTTTTTTTTAATTTCACGCCAATATTAATTACCTGCACATGCGATTAGTGTAAAGTCGATAATAATAATGTATTAACCGTCTGGGTCAAAGCGAATTTCCCCCCTCCACCGCATTGTTCCGGAAAATTTTAACAGCGACGGCGGCGTATTTGTTTTTCCCCCTTGACACGCGCGTTACAATTTTTTTTTTTTGTCGTCGGTCTGCCGTGTGCGCAAACCACGTGATTCAACGTAAACCGCTCGCCCTGCCGCCCGCTGATTCAACCCCTCCACGCCGCGCCACCGATACCGCACCGAATACTGCCGCTGCACTAACGTGCGTGCCTACTGACCGCGTACGCACAAACACACGTGACATTCGAGTACAACGTGGTCGGTCGAGATTAGGATACGTATTACAATAATAATGTATTTTAAAATCATTATTTTTTGTTTGCAGTCGAAGTATATTATAGATACGAGTGCGATTGGGGGAGAAAACGTCCAATAATTCTCCGACGTCGTCTGGATATCGGAGGCGACAATACGAAGGTAGCGGCGGGCGGTGATGATTTTCGAACCGACCCAACAAAAAAAAACAACACACACATACACACATACACAGGCACGAACACATATGCGCGTGCGTTTATTAGATTAAGTGATGGCGTTTGTGTGTCATATCTTTCTTTTTTTTCCTTTTTTTATTACACTGTTATTTCTTTTCCTTTTTTTTTTCAACAAAAACGGGACACAATAAATTTAATATAATATATGACTCTTCGGTACGCGTATACTTACAACACGGGCACCGTATTCGTTATCTGTTTTCTATTGTTAATGGCCATTGTCGGATCGATCAAATCACCGGCCGCCCGATAAAAATACGAACAACCCCGGACCAAGGCAAAAGCGTGACCGCAGTCTCTCTCCGATCATTCTGCCGTCCGTACGTATCAGGTATTTAACCGTAACCGTCGCACGCGACCTTTTCCGTTCTACAGCAATTTTGTTAGACAGCTTCCGGTGACCGGACCTAATTATGGCGACTAACCACGGATTTCAAAATGATCAAAATAATGAGGTATCCAGCAGCACAGTGGACTGGACACAAACTTACGATAATCGCGCGCGGAAACGCGTCCGGTATTGGCAAAGGATCGGCTATCGTATTTTGGGGATAACTCCGAAGCCAACACGCAACACCAGAAGCAGCTGCTCCTCGTCGTGCAGTTCGTGCGTGTCCTGTAGTACCTTGGAGACGGACGTCGACAGAGACGACAGTGATAACGAAAACGACGGAGACGCCAGTGATAACGGCAACGACGGAGACGTCAGTAATAACGATGACGACAGAAACGTCAGTGATAACGACGACGATAGAAACGTCGACGAGAATGATGACAAAAGAAAAGTCGATGATAACGACGACGACGGAGACGTCAGTAATAACGATGACGACAGAGACGTCAGTGATAACGACGACGATAGAAACGTCGACGAAAATGATGACAAAAGAGAAGTCGATGATAACGACGACGACGGAGATGCCAGTGATAACGACGACGACAGAGACGTCGATGATAACGACGACGACGGAGATGTCAGTGATAACGCCGACGACGGAGACGTCAGTGATAACGACGACGATAGAAACGTCGACGAGAATGATGACAAAAGAGAAGTTGATGACCACGACAATGACGACCATGACGACAATGACTACGGCTCTACCGAAGACAACAGCTTTTCCGACCAGCCATCACCGCTGCCGTATTTCCCGATAGACTACACCAATGAGACGGTGAGCTTATTGCATACCGTTCCTCAGGTGCCAGCGCCACCCAATTCTCCTAACTCTCCTAGTCATCGGTGTTCCCGCCTTTCTTGCATTTCGTGCTTATCCCGCAGCACACTCAGTACCGACGAGCCTCAAAGTTCCATTTCTTCTGACGACGATATCGACTACAGATTTACGGACTCACCTTCGCCTACCAACAGCGACTACGACTACAACATGTTGCAGGGTTCACCCATTACAATTCCGTACCATGCTTTGGGAGATGATTCAGAGATTCAGCGGTCATTACGGCTGAACCAGTACTGCTTTTACGTGAGCGATAACGATGCCGAGTATCGTTGCATAGAACACCAGAATCACGCCGGACGTTGTATCCTTTTAAACATCTGGGGCGTCTCGACCGTGGACCGCGGCACCCAAACGGACAATTACCAGAGGAGACGAGGGACGAAGAGGTTCCGGTTGACGTCACAATCATCCGATGACGATGAAGATGACGGTAGACCATAAAGGTATGCTCATTCTAAATGTTGTTTACCCACAAGCTTTTTTTTTATACGCTAAAACTTAATATTTTACGTAACTATTATTATATGGTATATTATAATTACATATTTTACTTTATTGTCAAATTACAATTTTTTTTTTATTATTATTATTATGTATTTTACGTTATCATCGTACCTTTATCAAGTTTTTTTGAATATTGAAAAATATTTTGATTTTGTTTTTTACCTATTAATTTTTTGATGATCGTAACAAGCATTTTGGATTATTATTTCTTTTGAAGACGGTGGTTTTTTTTCAAGCTTGTTGTATTCGGATTAATTGTATTATTTTAATTTTCAAACATTAATATTTGTTTTATATTTACATTTATTTGGTATTATACCTGTTCATTATTGCTTACATTTTTTTTTTTATGATATTATTACTTTTTATACATATTTTTTAAAAATGTTTATATACATTATTTACTTTATATTTTTCGGCTTATTAAAATAAGAATATTTTAATCAATAACCATGTGTATTTATTTATGTATATATTCATTTATTTAGTTCAATACTTTTGTCGAATGTGATGTTGGTAATATCTATATTCCTGCTATGCCTAATAGTACTTTATACTCTATAAAGTACTTATAGGTAATACGTTTTGTTATTCACTTCTGGCCATACCGGCTCGGAGATATTATAATTATTTTGTTAAATTATCTTATCAATAGCATTGCACACTATTTATTGCGATTGATTTAGTTTTGGTCATCTTGAAAACACTATTTTCGGGCATCAATGATAAGGCGAAAAGTCGTGTGTACAATAACAGTAACAATAATTGCATTGCTGTTGCAGTGTCTTGGTGTACTCAGTAATGTAATTTAGACATGATGTCTGGGATTCCAAAAATTATTCAGGACACACAGACCGGTGGAGCATTGCCCCCAGGCCACTAGTGTAAACCTGAATTGTCCGGGAAATAATTAGACGGACTGTAAAAATCCGAAAAGCATAAATGCCTAAACCAGAAAGTACCGGACTATAATAATTCAGAATACAAAATACACACATTGTAATGTTCTGAACAAAAACTTTCCAGGATTTAACAGTCCGGAATATTCTGGTCAGAGTATTTATTTTTCCGGTCGATTACAGTCCGCACATTTACAGTGTTTCATATTCTGGAATTTTACAATCTGTTGTTTTCCCCTCTAGAATAATGAAAACACATTATATTTTAATACAATCACATTACACATTATTTATTTTATTACAAAACGAGCTATAGCCCAAAGTACAGAAAAATATATACATAATAATAATAACAGAAAAGTACATACAAATTAAATTGACATAATGGCATTGTTACAATTGATTAAGAAAAATAAAACGACGGGTTATATTTTTCAATTAATAAGGTTTACAAAATTTCGTGTTTGTTGTGTCTGAGGCATTAATGAATAGACGAGTTTCGAGAGAAATGCGTGTGCAAAATTGATTAGGTAATCATGGGTCTATATCACGATGTAGATAAAATGTTTTATTTACATTGTGGTCTATATATTATTATAGTAAATTCTTTGGTATCACATTCATATAATTGTTAGCTTATTTTGGTTCAAATGTGCAAAGTAGTTATTTTTGATAAAATATATCGATAATTGATTAATCATGAACTGATATATATATATATATATGTATGTATAGATAAAATAACTTACGAAATATGAATGCATTCATGCACTGATTATTACTGAAATATGCAAACAAAAATACACGTTTGTTAAATTAATTTAGTTTGAAAATATATATAATTAACACATATATGTAATTCATTAAATAATCAATATGGAACTCAAATATAATAAATATTAAACAATAATAAATAATACGCAAATTTCTTACGAACCATGGTTATACCTATGTGGGTAAAACCAATGAACAATAATAAAGCAAAGGGGTATTAAACATTTAAAATACAGAAATATCGTAAATTCGTTATTTTATTTATTATTGATTAATTGTTGCGTACTGATATACATTGAATTCCTTTCTGGATCGATCCTAAGTTTTAAAAATCTTACCCACAACCTACCTATTGTGCGAATTATGTACGTATTTTAGATTCTAAGTGGAGCGAAAAAGCTTATGGTTTTACAAAGAAGTTTATTTTTTATTTTTTTTTTGTGAATAACTTTTCTACCAGCAAACTTATTTTAATATATACCGATATAAATTTACAAATATATATTCTACGTTTTCTCATTTTTTCTCACTTTTTCAATTTTATTCGAAAAACTACCGGGTAATTCAAAAAATGAGCTCTTTAAGGTACCACCCTTAGAAAATTTACTTTTAAAAAAGGGTCTACATCGTATACATTGGAGTAAACTTTCTGGTAGAAAATGTGTTCACAAAAAAAAAAAAATTTAAAATAAAAAAACTTTGTAATACATTCGTCGCTATACTCAAAATCTAAAATAAGATGATTAATAATACATTTAATTTATCTCACCACAATTTCCCCCCCTCCCCCCGCAGAGACAAGCTTGAATGAGGAGTATAAAATAATCAAACAATGACAAATTTTAAAAATATTAATTAAACACACACAGATACACACACTCATACTAAGTGATCTATTTCAGTGGGTACAATCATTATCATCACTACTCTCCTCCAACCTAAACTTTTAAATGGAATATATTGTCAACCGATTGACGGCAATCAAAAATTTCAACACCGAAATTTATTTTTGCTAATACCCCATTTATTTATGGATTTTTTAATATAGGTTACTACTTGAAAATCAAAAGTAAGTAGTCGTTACACCCACAAAAATAAGGGTAACAAAAAATAATACAAAAATAAATCTGTAGAGCTGCTTGTTTCTTAAATTTTCTAGAAAACAAATTCCGGAAAAATGTAATACGTTCCGAGATAATAAGTGTACTTAAATGGATCACTGGGTATACAATCTTATATTTTTAGTGACATCTATTTGAAGCAGACAGTCCTGTGTCTATAAAAGTGAGTAGGAAAATGTGACACGATTTGAAAAATTACTATGTGACCATAGTCCATAAATACCTAATATCTGTATACGCTAACGGATTGTATTTTTAAGGATTTTTGTTATAGAAAGTTAAAATTTAGGTGCGCAATCGAGTTATGATAAACGAGTAGAAAGAATGGAATTATAATAGTTAAACATTGTTTAATATTATAATACTACATTAATAATTATAATATTACACGATTACAAATGCATAATATACAGGTAAACAATTTTCAGTAAATAGGGTGAACTTTTATTAGAAACAGAACAAACATGTGAACTTATTATACACATATAAATTACAAGTTTCCAATAAATTAAAGCCTAAAAAATGAAAGAAAAGCACAGAATGCAGACGACAAAATTTTCTACGATTCTTGCAGTGCATATTTTGTTTTTTTAGCTATCCACTGGTATCAATCTACCGAATCTAACGAATTTTTATTTTCTTGACCAAATTTTGAAGCACTTATATACACTTATTATGCTTATTAGATAACGTGTTTTTATAGCAGTGATTCAAAATAATATTGGTCTGAAATAAGCTGATGTAAATGCGACTTTTCAATACTAAAAGCACTAAACTGGCAGATACCTATCGAACGAAAATAAATTTCAATTCGGTTTAAATGTAACATAATATCAACACGCGCAATTTGATTTCTATGTATCTCTTAAAACTTATAACGAACCTCCTTTATCGGGAAAACAATCATTTTAACGTGAGATAAATATAATACACACGCTTTGTCAGCTTATTTATCCATTTAATATTCGATTGTTTCAAATGACATTACAAAATTTATTTTACAATTCTTCGATGAGAAAATTAAAAAAAAAAGAGCTGATACTGGGGACGAGTGTGGCCACTGTTGTATGTGGGATACATAAGGTTATTTAATTTATACAAGTCATGTAACCAATGACAAATTATTGATAACAAAATACGATTCGGAGCGAAGTTTGGTTATACATGTTTTGAAAGGCCGTAATATTTACGTGAAAATTTGATTTAAAAATCTGAAGTATTTTATTTTTCTATTTTTTTGACCATTAGGTACATCTCATAATAAACCAACTAACACATTTTAAAGCACTTCTTTTAAGTCTAACAATTTATCGCAAAATAAAATATTACACACAAACTCACTAAATTTAAATGCCTATAAATAACTAAAACAATTTTAACGCATAGTGTATACCTTCCCCGTAGATTTTTTTACGAAAACAACATTGGGTTTAGCTAAACTTTACTCAGACCCGTTCTTCGGTATAAATGATTTATCGTTACTATTTTTTGGCTTTTCTGCATGGCCAGCGTGCCAAACAAATTATTATACACTTAATATGCCCATTAGATCATGGGTTTTTATAGCATAGCAGTATTTCAAAATAATATTGGTCTAGGATAAGCTAATGTAAATGTACTTTTTCAAAATTTAAAGCGCCGAATTGGTTCATTTCACACTAATATCAAAACTGAAATCGCAAAATTTGTTTTGTTACGCATGAAAATTCGCTACTTCGCGCGTCGTCAGTTTGTAAGACAGAAAATAAAAGGGTGAACACACGCATTGCGATATTATTATCGACAGACCTCGAACGGTTTCCTTACGTTTAACGAAATCTCGTAATCCTAATGCACTATACTTATATTATTGTCTTTACTTTTTTATAATATAGTAGGTTTACGACTCCGGAGAAAAGCCCGATATCCTTGACCGTAACCACTTCTATAGTAATAATGTAACTTATCATCTTATCCGGCCGACGTACACCCGCAGTGTTATTTTCTCCATAAAAGAAAGTAGAAATTTAGACTGTTTTTACATTTTGGGAGAACCGTACCAAGAATTATGTATAGGTTATACTTTGTGTTGTATTCCCGGTAATTTTAGATTCAGAGCGAAACACTGGTCATCGTTGATATTACCACGAGGGAGGGGGGGATG